GCGTGGATGCGCTCGCCGGGCACCTGTGTGCGCTCGCGTGCTGCTGACGCTGTGACGAGTGCTCTGGTCACTGCGCACGTTGTACACTGCTTGCTGCTGATGGCGTTGCGATCGTCGATGCCCATCAGCTTGCAGTACTGCTGCACGTCGTTGTCGTTGCGGTGGCCAAGCACCTCATGCATCGATGGTGTCTGCACCTTGCTCTGGGCTGCAGGAGCTGCTGCGGGTTGCTGTGGTTGCTTGCAGGCATCGGCGGTGAGACCGTGTGCCGTGGATGGACCAACAGCAACAATGGGCCAGCACCGGAGGCTGCTGCGCTCCTTCAGCTTGACCTCGGCTCCGTGGCTGAAGCGCACGTAGTGCCCATCAGCGCCATCACGCTGCGAGTGGCCCGTTGGCCTGCCGCTGCTGTCCCTGGTCAGACGACCGAGGGCGATGAGGTTGGCCTGGCCCTCGGGCACGTAGAGGCACTCCTGTAGCACAATCTGCATCGTAGCTCCGCTCGTCGTGCGTGCATGCAACAGCACAGAGCCAACACCGCGCACGGGCACACGTGTGCCGCCAAACGCAGTGATATGGCGTGGATGGTGCTGTTGCAGGTGCGGTGTCAGCTCCACGAAGGCGTCCTTGACGAAGGTGAGGTGGTGTGAAGCACCCGTGTCTGCAAGCCACGTGAGTGGGTCATGCAGCTGCGTGGGTGTAGTAGCTGTGGCAGCGACGAAGGTTGCTGCGTCTTGACCATGTTGATGCTGTGTCTGTGCAGTGAAGCCTGTTGCTCCGTTGTCGCGTTGCTTCTTGCGACACTCTGCTGCACGGTGTGCGATGCGGAGGCGGTCCTGCGAAGCGTAGTGGTCCTTGAGCCGGGCCCATCCTTGGTGTTGAGATTCAGTGAGTTTCTGTTCTGTGTTAAGTCCTTCCTAATTTGCCTTCTCGTGTGGTTTTGTCTTGTTTGCCAACAACACCTGCTTTGTGGTTTTTCCGTTTGCAAACATTCCTTCCTCTCTGCTGGTATGCATGTGTGCCAACTGCCTCTCCTCTTCTCCTTCCCCTACACACGTGAGTTGTGTGCCATGTGTGTGTATGTGTGCATGCTCGCCATGCTTGGCAAATGCCATGCCTGCGTGCCATGCAGTGTTGTGAAGTGTTGTCTGTTGTGTATGCTTGCCTGCAAGCATTCATGCCATGCTTAGCATTGCTCTGCGCGCATGTATGCATGCTGCTCATTGTTTAAATTGTTTGTGTTGGTGCACTCTCTGCCCATGTCGCCTTGGCAGCTCTATTGACTGTGTGTGCACTTGTCTAGTGTTTGTTTGAGCGTGCTGCCCGAGTTGATTTGGCAGCAGCTTGTTGTGCTTGTTCATTCTCCTTGTGTTCTTGTTTGTTGCGTTTGCCTACAGTAAACACACACACCACCTGTCGTGTTTCTACAGATTATGAGACCCAGCCACTCCTGATCATCATCGCCACTTGTCTCACACTCGCTTGTGCTTCTTCTCTCCCTTCTGCTTGTTCCCCTCTCTTGTTTCTCCATCACCTTTCTTGAGCGTGCAGTATGTCTGACCCGTCGGACCACGTCGTTTCCACGCCAGGATTCAAGATGGACCTGCCCAAGTTCTCTGGCTCGCCCGGCACCTTTCATGCGTGGAGCATTCGCATGAAGATGGCGCTCAAGCTCCGCGGCGACGACGTCTGGGCAGCTGTGGAGGCAGAAGAGGAGAGGCAGTTGGCACACATGCATACCAGCAGAGAGGAAGGAATGTTTGCAAACGGAAAAACCACAAAGCAGGTGTTGCTGCAAACCTCATCGCGTCCACGCTCTCAGGCTACCCCCTTCTCCTCTTCACCAACGGAGAAGCAGACGTCAACGCCGGCCAAGGATGGGCCCGGCTCAAGGACCACTACGCTTCGCAGGACCGCCTCCGCATCGCAGAGCTCAAGGAGGCGCAGCTTCACGTCCCCTGCGGCAACCTCGCCCGCTTCTTCGAGCGACACATGGAGCTGCAGCAGCAGTTGCAAGGCGCAGGCGTGCGCCAGGACAACGAGGACCTCTTCACCATCGTCTGGAAGCAGCTGCCACGCTGGACAGCCCCGCTCACGCTTCCCTACTTTGCCAGTGGCCGCTTTCCCTCCCTCCTCGAGCTCAGCATCAGGCTGCAGCAGCTGGAGCAGCAGATGCGTGGTTCACGCACACAGCCGCAGGCAGGCGGCTTCATGGCAAGCGCACCGCCACGCAGAGGCGGAAGACGCGGCTTCTCCAACAGCAGCAACAACCACTGACGCCAGGGACGCAACAACGGCGGTAACGGCAACAGCAACGGCAAAGGGCGCCGCTTCCGTGGCAACTGTCACTACTGTGGCAAGTATGGACACCGTGCAGCAGAGTGTCGCAAGAAGCAACGCGACAACGGAGCAACAGGCTTCACTGCACAGGCACAGCATCAACATGGTCAAGACGCAGCAACCTTCGTCGCTGCCACAGCTACTACACCCACGCAGCTGCATGACCCACTCACGTGGCTTGCAGACACGGGTGCTTCACACCACCTCACCTTCGTCAAGGACGCCTTCGTGGAGCTGTCACCGCACCTGCAACAGCACCATCCACGCCACATCACTGCGTTTGGCGGCACACGTGTGCCCGTGCGCGGTGTTGGCTCTGTGCTGTTGCATGCACGCACGACGAGCGGAGCCACGATGCAGATTGTGTTGCAGGAGTGCCTCTACGTGCCCGAGGGCCACGCCAACCTCATCGCCCTCGGTCGTCTGACAAGGGACAGCAGCGGCAGGCCAACGGGCCACTCGCAGCGTGATGGCGCCGATGGGCACTACGTGCGCTTCAGCCACGGAGCCGAGGTCAAGCTGAAGGAGCGCAACAGCCTCCGATGCTGGCCCATTGTTGCTGTTGGTCCATCCACGGCACACGGACTCACCGCCGATGCCTGCAAGCAACCACAGCAACCCGCAGCAGCTCCTGCAGCCCAGAGCAAGGCACACACACCATCGATGCATGAGGTACTTGGCCACCGCAACGACAACGACGTGCAGCAGTACTGCAAGCTGATGGGCATCGACGATCGCAACGCCATCAGCAGCAAGCAGTGTACAACGTGCGCAGTGACCAAGAGCACTCGTCACAGCGTCAGCAAGCACGCGGAGCGCACACAGGTGCCCGGCGAGCGCATCCACGCCGACATCGTCGACTGGACCGCGGACTCACCCACGGGCAAGCGCTACAGCCTCGTCATCGTCGATGAGGGCAGCAAGCTCCTGCATGCAGTCCATCTCAATGCCAAGAAGGACGCAGTTGCCGCGTTCCAGTCGTTCCTGCGCGAGACAAGCTCCCCATCTCGCCCACAACAACAGCACTCCAGACGGATTCCGATGCCATCTTCCCTCGGAGCTGACTTCCAGGCCATCGTCAAGAGCACCTGAAGCAGCACAGCAGTTCCCCGCCGTACACCCAGGCGCAGAACGGCATCGTCGAGCGACAG